AAGTAATCATCGTTGATGCGGGGGCCAAGGCGTTGGTGCCATAGAAGGCGTTCCGTTTGAGCTTTGATGGCGTTGATGGGTTTAGCTTCAAATGTCCAATCATTGACAGGATGATTTGGAAGCTCGCAAGGTAATTGATGCATGTTTTCGTCAATGTGGTCATGCATTTGTTTTTGAAACACATGGATGTTATTGATGGTGGCAGTAAAACAGTTCTTTGCAAATTGGTCATCATGACTGAGTGCTTTCTCAAGTGAGTTGTATGGTGTAGCTCAAGGATGATGCGGGAGTAGGTCAGGCATGATTAGTGGTTGAGTGTATGATTTGCCGAAAGAGAGTACACCATAAACGATAATGGTTTTGGTGTCATCAAGTCGGTGTATGCATCTGATGGTGAGTTTATTYGTTTGAAGAAATTTATAAATTTCGATTGTATAATCTCGAAGTTTGAGTTTTGGATTCGAACGGATAAAATCATCTTCAGAAATTAGTGTAGATGATAGGGTTGGGGAATAGATACAACGAACGCGGATAACCGTTGTYGTTGACGGCTGGTACATGCAGATATCCTTTGCCGTGTGGATATACACTGTCTGTGGAGTTTATAGCACCGACAAGTTTTAGTTGACACGGGAAGTCTTTTGTGTACGGTTTGTAGTTGTGGATGACATCAATTAGATTTGTACACGTAATGTCTGCACCTGTGTCAATTTGTGCTCTAACAGTAGAGGAGATATTGGAGGTATATACAGTTGGTGGCGGCATAGGATGTGGCAGGGAGGTATTGGAGTGGACGTTGACAACTTGTATTGAGGACGGTTGAATTGGTTCATAAGGCGTATTGGGTCCTTTCTCAGGTTTGGGTAGAAAAGCATGATGTGGGTATGTCGGGACTTTTAGTTTGGGGGTATCAGTCGGGAGTGACGTATCACATACAGTGTCAGGAGAGGGGAGAAAATGCATATGCATGATATGGAGTGAATTCAGCATATGAAGAACAGGAGTGGTTGACAGATGATGAGGAGGGCACGGATCGTCCGATTTTATCGTCCGCCCTGGACAAAATCCGTTTCGATGTCATGTGTCGATTCTGATGGGGTGACAACGTTATCACTCATGAGCTGTGTGTCTTCGATTGGTAGTGATGCTTGAACCTGATTAATTGAGGCGTTTGCCTTGTTTAAGGTATTTTGTGCTCATTTGTACATTTGGCAAAAGTTGATAAAGTTTTGACGAAGTAGGTTTGACTGTTGGAGGACTGGACAATGTTCAAATGAATGATTTGATGTTTGTCCAGTCATCATATTGCAAACGAGGCATGGCTTATTAAACAAAGCCGGGTTGGCTTTGATTTGATTGATTGTCATGGAGTAGGTGAGGTCAAGGAAATTGTCGTCAACGTTGATGGTTTGAATTTGATTTACCAATGCCGTTTTGATTCTTGTAGATTCAGGGCGTTTGTAAGTCGAAGTCAAAACATATGGGTTGACTTTGCGAACCTGGTTTCTGTTTAATGGTTGGGTGAGAGCTGGACTATTTGGWAGGTTCAAATATTGCTGAAGGGTAGCAAGGAAGTTTGATGGTTCAAATTTGTGCTTGAGGTGCGTAAAGTCTTGTTCACGGCGAATTTCAGTTTGGAGGAAAGACGAGTAKKTGCAACCACTGACGAAATGTTYGCSTTCATTTTTATTGTAGACCGTYTGGGCATTATCTTYGACTAAAGCTCGTAACATGATGTAATGGTTGTATTTCTTYCAATATTCCATGAGGGAGAGTGAACCTTGAGTAGGACRCGTTGTAACTAGAGAGGACGGGGATTCGATTAGAAAAGGGTGATTCGGGCAAATGATTGCCTTCAGTGCCTCGTATCCATGTCCGTCGTAGAGTTCAACGATGTGACGGAATTTATCACGGGATGCACAAGCTTGGTGAAGAATATCCCATATGACTCGGGAGACGGTTGATATCTTTGTTTCAAACGTCAAGTTAAGGTCGTCATCGTCATTCATGCCGATGGTGAAACCTCAGGGGTGTGTGCAGTCGGAATGGAAACAAGGATAAGGATGGCAGTATTTACCATAACGGGCACAATGAGTTGTAAAGCACGTGTACCAATTGTAGAGTTCATAGGATGTTTCACCTGTCATTTTATTGACGTTGTTACGGAAGTTCTTTTCACTTTGTGGTCCTAGATCAACTAGGACAAAGTAGGAACCATCGCGAGTGACAAAACCTGATGACAAGTGTTTGGTGTCGCGAGCGTAATTTCGGAATCCAGGGGTCCCTGCAGAGTYGTAGATTTTGGTGAGGGYGGTGCTGGTATGRAATTTGTATGGTTCTTTATTGAACTTGTAACGGATATTGACTCCAGTGGCGAAGTTGACTGGAATGAAGGGATCAATGCTAGTGGGGGTCCCCGGCGTTTTTGGTTTTGGAGCAAGACTCTTGATTGCGTCGGCAGTATTTTTCAAGATTTCATTGTTCTGTTCCCAAAGTTTGAGGATGGCTGGGTCTCTGGTTTGAGTTCCAGTCGTAGTCTGAGGCTTCGTGGTGGGATCGAGAGGTGGAAAGGGAGTGTCGCTGAATAATGCAAAGTCGTAAATGTCTTTTGGGTGTACTCTTTTGTCAATGTAGAAGGGTGACCAATTGATGTAAAGAACTAGTGCGTCGGGCTGCGCGCTCTTGGATACGAAGTTTAGGGCCTTGTCAAGGTTTGTGTTGTTAGTGTCCAAGAGTTGCACGCGCTTGTTCTTTGCAATTTCAACGAGGAGTGTCGTCTTTGTTTGCATGAGATTTTCGATGTGAATTTTATCCTTGGAGTTGAACGCATTGGCCTGGACGTGGTCGATGATATCTTCTTTGACGGACAGAAGGAATTTGGCAACGTCATCGAAAGCATCTCCATTGGCATTGAGGTAGTTAACGAAGTCAGTTGTGAAACTGTATGCGGTGTCCATTGGGTCCGTGAGTTCGGGATAGTTGTAATGCGGAAGGAAGACGCTGTGGATGTGTTCGATGTTGGGGTGGAAGGAGCGCTTCGCGCTTTTCGTGCTTCTGGTGGTAGTCATGATGGATGGTGGAAGTCGAGATGACTTTGGAAGTATAAAGTATATTTCAATTTGAATCAGAAGAAATATATTTTATGGGAAGTGTTGCGAAGCGATTAAAAAGGAAAATACAAGGTTCTTATGAGAAACACCGGTTTTCGTGAGAAGCTTGGATTTTTGTTTGAGTTGAAATTTTGCGGGTACGCAGGTTGGACGTGTAACGTGAGGTGGTCGCACGTAACGCTGTGGGAATAAATAGCATATTTGTACGTGCGTAGGATGCGTGCGAGATTTATTTTTAATTTGTTGTGGGAATTAAAAAATGGAAACGGGTTTGACGGTGCCAAAAAAGTTTCGTTGATCGTAGAAAAGGAAGAAATCGTTGAAAGTTTCGAAGTTTTCAAGATCGAGAAAGCGTTGTGAGCAGCGACAATGGCGATCGTCTTGAAATTGTTATTTGGTAATGATTATTTCGAAATTGTTATTTCGAAGACGATGGTGGCGACAATGCGTATGCGTTGTCGGAGACAATGGCAACAACAAGGCGGATGCGTTGTCGGAGACGATAGATTGTTCAAAGGTGTGTGTGTTGACGAGCGTCGGTAGAGTTCGTATGGAGGAGAGATCACGCCTAAAAAATTATCACCATGGTGGTGATGAATTTTATTGGAAGGGTGTCATAACCTGTGGGAGTGACTGTCCTAAAAGTGATGTAAAGTGTGTGCTAGTAGAAAAGTGAGTCGATGCTCTTATTGGGGATTGACGAACTATGAAATCTAGAATGGATCACTGTGAGGATCGAGTGATGTGTGAATCGAATGAGTCGAGTCACTCACACAAGTGAATGAAATGAGTCATGTCGATCATATGAATCCAGTGGGATCGCGTGAGTCATATATGTATGGTGTGTATGAATCGTAGATACGTATAGTATGTATGTGTCATATGTATGAATCATACCCACGGTCTGATATCCTACGGACAACAGTAAATGAATATATTTATATCATTTGTTAATATATATTCTTATAATATCGTTCATAGTGATGAGAGGTGTGATAAGTAGAGCAGTAGTAGTGTAGTAGCAGTTGCAAAGAAGGAAAGAAAATCCCAAATTTTCCAGGTGGCAACATTTGGCACCAACAAGCAACAGGAAAAAGTTAATAGTACTACTAGTAGTAGAGGAGGAAATGTAATCATTTTCATGTGCAAATATAATTTTTGAAATCATGTGCATGCTCATTTCTAGTCTCTAGTGCTGACTCTACACATTCTACATAGTCATTCCTCATATTCAAGTGTTGAAACCATGAAGTATATAGGAGACACAGTTTGTATGGACAGCCAAACTGGTCGTAAGGTACATCTACTATTTCCGAATGGAGGAAGTAGTATTTAGTTGTACCCTTAAAATGTTTTCGCATGATTATATATCTTTCATTTTCTACCATTCCGTAGCAAAGCAATGACATTGTGGCCGAGCGGTCTAAGGCGCAACGTTAAGGCCGTTGTCTTAATTGGCGGGGGTTCGAATCCCCTCGATGTCACTTTTTTGATACTTGTGACCACCGCATCCTGCTTTTCGTCTCCCACAACTGTACCGTACTACGGCACGAACGATGCCGCACGTCTTCTATCTTCTAAAAACCTTGGAGAAGTTCCTCAGTTCAATTGCAACGGGCGTCAGAATCAATTCAATGCTGTCCTTTCTTCGTAGATATGAGTTCAGACACCAGTACACAATAATAAGGGGCGGTACTGGGAACTGGGAACTGGGAATTTTGAATTTTCACTTCTTCCACTGGAAGTTCAGAAAGCGTAGGACAACTTATTTTAGGTACAGGCGCAATAGTTTCAATTACAACCTTTGTTGCAATAGATGTCGATCCTTCAAAACATTTTTCCTTTCCTCACTTTATGAATTGCATAATAAAAACATGCGGAAGTGACTAACACTCTCTCAAACTGCAATCTACAAGGAATACGAATAGAGGAGGGAATTAGACGCCCCCCTCTATTATATCTCCATCAACCCAACCATTCTTTGATATCGATACGTGACAGCACGCAAACAACTAGCATGGTCAATTCTGCTTCCTCCTCCTTTCTATCCGCTACAGATATCGAGGCTATGTACGCGCAAACCCCTACGCCAACCGAAACATTATCCGTGGTCGAAAAATCTATGGGAGGCTTTCATGAATTACTTGAAAAAGACAAAACGAAAAATTCCAATTGGCGGTTGGCAGAAGAAAACTGTCCCGAAGAATGCAGTGATGACTTCAAACTGATTTTTCTGCGTTGTGAAGTGTTTGAGGTAGAGTTGGCAGTCAAGCGCTATATCAAGTACTGGGACAATCGAATAGAAACCTTCGGTATTGACAAGGGATTTCTACCGATCATAAATTCCGATGGCAGCCCCGGTGGTGCTATGAAAGATGACCTCGAAGCAATCGATTTTGGTTACTTTCGAATGGCACCTCCTGGCATGTGCGAAGATCCAGATGGTCGGGCAATCTGTTTCCTTAACGCTTCTGTTTTGGATGAGGAATTTATCATTGGTGCACAAGGGATGGTTCGAGCATCGTGGTATGCGATTCACTTAGGTTTGCAATCGGAATCAGCCCAGCGGAAAGGAATCGTTATCATTGCAAAAGCGCCGAAACGCCTCGCAAAAGCTTTGTCGAAGAGTCCTGGAAAACTCTTGGCGGCATCCATTCAAGGAGCCGTCCCCGTTCGAATGGCGGCTTTGCACATATTAGATCCACCTCCTGCAGTTTCGATTCTAACAAAGTTTGTGCGAATGGTTCTTGGGAAGAAAGTTAAGAAACGTATATATGTCCACGAATGTAATTCCTTGGAAAAAAGGATGGAAGCATTGTCGAAATATGGAATTTGTAGGGAACAACTGCCGAGAGCAGTGGGAGGCGACTTTGATTTCGATGAGAAAAGTTGGAAAATTCTGGCAGCAAAATAGATTTGAAGGTACAGCAATGCATTTTTTCCGCTAAGTGTTCATAGTGCACGGAAACTCATTGTTCGAAGGGTGGAGATGAATGACTATGCAAATGACTGTCCGGAACATGTATAATACTAGGCGAAAAACGAAAATCATGGCAAACTTCTTTACTACAAGTACTACTATTAGTATTAGTTATTAATAGAGGGGATCCCACATTGCTTGTTTGCTTTGGCATCCACATGTACCGTTGAAGGGTTTCCTTCCACATGCAAATGTACTAGTGAATCATTGATTTATCTTCATTGCTTACAGTATAGTTGTCCTGGTTGCATATCTAAAATTGCATTGGAGTATACACAAAAACTACAGTTTCCTCTGCTGCTTACTTCTCCGTGCTCCCCTGCTGCTCATAACTTCTAGTAGGCAACTAACACAACATCAACACAATGATTGGATCTTTGCTAAACACCCCTTAAAGAAAGCAACAGCTGCTTTTTTGGACCATGGGGAATCCATCAAGCAATCCTGTGGTGAGTGATTTCTTGATTGTCATATCAAAGGAATTGATTGCTCTATTGATTGTCATATTGATTACCAATCTATTGCCAACATCTCAATTGTTGATTGCCAAGTGTTCTCCATCACCCAAATAAACCAATTTACCATGGGATTTACCCTCAAAAGAAGTGATTAAAACAAGCCATTCACATCTGGTGACAGCTCTTGGCCTATGTACTAGAAGAACCCTCACAGCAAGTCCTCCTTGACATAGGGAACTGTGTTTGTCATTGCTACCAGCGTCTTCATGAAGGTCAATAGGATCTGGTGGTTGTGTCCTATAGTGCTACATTTGTAGTTGTAGAGGTTGATCAACAAGTTCATGATGATCTTTTGGTCTCCAATCTCCTCTATTGTAGCTCATCTGAACACCCTTCAGCCCGCTTGTCTGTAGCATCAGTACCAGAAACAAGGACAGAAGATCCTGTCTTTGATCCTTGGATACTTTCCTTGAGTGAATCACCATCCTCATCCCCCATTCAGACATCCTCTGTCTCAAGGATGTTGCATCCCTATTCAAAAGAAKATGGTTGTCCTTCTCAGGGTCCTGCTGTGAGCTCTTGATGAGGATATCCTCCTTATCATTCAATGACAATGCGGAATCCACCACAACCCTTGCATTAGACTGGTTGTGGACCTCCTCAATCCTGTCATAGACCCCATGGTCAGCAATAGCACTATCATGCCAACAAGTGCCAGGACAGTTGAAGACTGAGATTATAATTCTACCATCTGGGGCAAACAAGACAAACACACTGGTGTTGACAAAGGTGTTCTCCTTCCAGGCGCTGTAGAATKCTCTAGGCGCTGCAGAATGCTCTATGTTTAAACCAGTCTTCAGAGGCTTCAATAACACTCCTCTTCTTGTTGTTGAGTCCATCAGCAGCAGCCCAAAGTGTTGTTCTCCCAGGTGTGGATACTTGTCTCAAATAGCCTTAACATAACCATCCACTTCTTGCTTAGTTGGAACACTGACCATCTGGCGTCTGATCATTTGTGAAGAGCAACAACAGGCATCACTCTCCTTCTTGAACAAAGAACCTTGAGCCACCAGCAGTTGCACATCGTCACTACTGTGACTGGATGTTGTTAAGTCAAAGGCCATGGGCATTGACCTTGCATCAGATCCTCTTGTCCTATACCAATAGATGACCAGTCCAATAGCACAGACAGCATCAACCTCCTTCTTCTTCCCCTTGGGCTTGCCACTAGATATTATGCTGTATGTTGTACTATGTAAAGGTGCATTGCATTGTACGTACCGTATCTTACTATGGTATAACGTACGAGCTACGACTTCGCTTTTTGTACGGTGCGTACAAGGAAAGCACGTACGTACCAGTCCCGGATGATTGAAAGAGCATGAGGATTGGGTTTTCAGTTTTCATGATGAGAGAGAATTGAGAATCCTAAATTTTTACTACGAAGAATAACAGTAGGATTTCTTCAACTTCATCCATCGCCCATCGCACCCCTCAGGTCATCACCATTCATCTGTTGGCGTTTCAGAGTTTCTGAATGGGGCGAGATCCAATTCATAGCAAAATGATGATTAATATCAAAGGATCCATGGTCTCGGCAGCGTTTGTGCTTCTTCTCCTCCTCGACCGCGCGAAAGAATCTTCGGCACTGAGCATTCGAGACAAAAGTCGTGGCGGCAGCGGCAGAAGGGATTTTATTGAGGGAATTGCCACTGCCACGGCGACTGCTTTGATCCTTCCCGAACAAGCCCACGCCACTCGAGCAGTTGGAGGTGCAGAAATCGAATGTCGAGAAGCAGGAAACTGCTTGGAAAAATTTGAATTGGATGGAGCCTTAGGCTGGAATTGGGGTGCGAAAGACCGCTGCGATGCTACGGATCCAAACTGTGGGTCAAATGGGAAGCTAAGAGATTCACCCCTTGTTGGAGATAGTGTACCAGATAGAATGGGATACGAAATCACACATGTCGTTCAGATGTCTCTGGCAATTGGTCGGTCGGACGAAGATTGTACCGTTCGCATGGGTTTGTACGGAAATGATGTTGCTGTGAGTGTGGAGGAATTTCTGAACATAGTGAGCCCCTCCGGATTGAGGACAACGAGCGAATTGATGTTTGAAAATGGCATGGGTGTCGCTGCGATACCAGTGAGTCTCACAAGAGGAGGGATCTTGGGTCAGATTGTCCCGGGTCAAAGACTAGACTTCGGAATTCCATTGCAATCGGCTGCCTATGCTCGATCCAAAGGGATGGCCAACGCGGGCGACAACTTTGTCCCGCAACCACGACCAAGGGAACTGAAAGATGTCCCTGTCCTTAGAAAGCACGACGTGCCGGGTCTTGTTTCTATTCCGGCAAAAGGAATTGGATACGGGGGGACAGGCTTTGAGTCGGAAGACGAATGTTTCGAGTCTGCCTTTCAAATCATTGCTTCTGCTAACCCTGCAATGGACAAAGAAAACAGACGAGTAATTGGGCAGATTGTGGACGACGAGTCTATGCAAAGCCTCGCAAGACTGGCATCTCTTCCGACCAAGAAGGGCTTTCGAGGAGTGATACCTGGGCAAAATTCGGGACCTCCACTGATCAAGGTTGTCCTCACAGATATCCAAGTTGCAAAAGTCCAGTCCCAGCCCTCTCAAGGATCTCCTGTCGAAAGCTAATACTTTTATCCTAAACGAAAGTTCGGCATTGTACTAAACGCTAGTTTGTTTAGTTTTTAAACTCTTATCGACCCGGAGCACTTCTTCTACAAGGAATGTTGTCGACAACTGCTGCCTGGAAGTCCAGCAGTGGGAAAAGATGAACTGCCTTTTTTCGTATTGGATCAGAGGTCTTGTCTTGTCCGAACACATCACAAAAAAAGTCTAGGTATACCAACCGCTCGGTTTTGAACGTCTAGATATCATCCTTCCACCCAGCGTTGATTGTTGCGTAGCTCTTTGCGTCAATCGATCCCGACAAGTAGCAACTGACTACTCGCCTTTCATGTCATTGTCAATACTCCTTGCTTTTTCGAACATGGAGGGAATGAATCCATCAACAATTCTCGAGTCCTCGTTTAATTCTTGTATCGGTCGAAAGACAGGAAAGCGCTCCAGCAACTCATCGACTCCCTTTCCGCCTCGGGGATGGCGGTATTTTTCTTCCATGTCTACAGTCACTTTGTATCTCATTGCCAAGCCAAGAGCAATCATCGAATTAGTAGTGTCGACGGTGACCTGCGAAATCCCGTTCCCATCGATGACGGACACGTCCAAGCGAAAGAGTGGGGGTGCAAGCGATATCGCCGGGGTGTTCAGCGACCGCAACGAGTCGAGAATAGACGAAAAGGCGTCGCGGTCGACCGCACCCTTCTCGTCCGCGAACCGCTGCATGGCCTCCCGGACGCTCTCCGTGGTCGTCTCCTGCAACCCGGGCAGGGTTTTTACCGCCGTTTCTACCTTCGGAAGGGCGTCCGAGATGGCTTTTTCTCGTTCCGGAGACGTCGCGACGAGCTCTTGCGCCTCTTCCTCGATGCCGGCTTTGGCGTTCTCGCTGGCATCGGGATTGGGCGCCGCCGTGATTTTGGTCAGGGAGAGCCGCTTGGGAGCGCCCTTGTCCCGGGCGGTGCCCTCGCCGGATTGCTCCTCGGCATCGTGCTCGGCGACCAGCCTGGCCAGTGAATCCGGGGGCAGGATGGCCGTCCCGAGATCCAGCCCACCCGCCAGTTGCACGCACGTCAGGGCCTCCGCGGATTTTGGTCGATCCGTGTCGACGGGGGAGACGACCACTGGCATCCAGTGCTTGTTGTGCTGCTGGTTGCTGTCTTCGCCCCCGGCCACCAGTATGCACACGAATCCGAGCTCCGGATCCACCGAAAACCCCGCGATGCCCCCTCGCAGGTCGATTCTGTTTCTGTAGCTTTCTTCGTCGAAGTCTCCCGACGGTATGCCGTCCATCGCATCGTCCAACCAGCCCGGTTTTTCGTTGCAGCGAATCAATGGTGTTTGCCGCTCTTGTTTGTTTGCGGACGGTGGGAAGGGTGCCAAGGGCGAAGAAACTCGGTTTGTGCTCGTTCGGATCGCCGAACTGGTAAATCCCGCCGCGGAGTTCAGAGACAGCAGCGAAAGGAAGAAAACCGCCATGCGATCGGTCGTCTTCATTGTAGTGGGATATTGCGTTCCGGGAGCGAACGGTCTGCTTCAAACGCTATGGATTTCTTTGGTTTCGATTGGAATACGATGGCTGGGTTGATTAACAATCCTGGAAGAAATCCTGTGGGATTCGAACACTGCGTTTCAAAGTATGGTTGGAATGGTTGTTTGCTCCTTTCGGAATGCCGCCGTTGCTTCTAGACGTAATTTTTCTTTCAAGAAACCCCGAGGAGTCAAAAAGCCTTGAATTCTGCATCCCACTTTCAAACTTGAAGCTCGTGTATCCAGTTTCAGTTCACGGTTACCATTCCATTTAGTATGATTACGAGTACGTACGAGTACGAGTAAGCAAGTCAACTAACTTGCTTGGGTGCGTGCAAGTTTTTATTAGTACGTACGTACCTATGTATTACTACTACGGAGGGGTATTTCCTAAAATTTCCTAAAATTCACGACGCCGCACATTTTTCAAATTTCCTCTGAATTGTCGGAACGGAGAACGGAGAAGCTACCAACAACGTCCATACATACGTACCTATAATACATCAAATGCCTATGTTAAATTAAAAACTCATAACCGCTTCGAGTGTCTCAGATTTCAGATCCCGAAATGCGGTTCGCACGACCCGGTCAGAGAAGAGAAGATGACAATCACCTAAGTGCAGTTGTTCCTAACAGCTCTTAGCCTGAGTTGTTGGAGCCTTGTCGTTCCTTCTTCCTGTGGCGGTAGCGTGATGTGGTATCGTGGTGACTGGGCCTCTAGGTTCGATGGTACCTTTCGTCTGTTCACTAGGTATATATATGTTAATTTTTTGAGTTATGTTTGCCTAATTTGGATTTGACTAAATTGACTTAGAACTCTACAAGTACTAGTGTGGTAGCAGGGTCAGATAGCTTTGGGGCGCCGTATCTGTGCCTGTTCTGTACCTTGTTGGTCTTGTGCTCAAGGGTGGGGAAGGKGTGAATTCACTGGTTTCATTAGTCTCATCTTGCCACGATACCATCTTGCTGCGCCGCTTGCTGAAGAATGAGTTTCAAGGCTCTGTGCTTTTCTTTGTTGGGGCGTACGCTGCCTCGATTGCTTGGTTTCGCTGTCTGTCGTCTGTCCGTCGCTCCCAACACTCCTTCAACTAAGTGCAGTTGTTCCTAACAGCTCTTAGCCTGAGTTGTTGGAGCCTTGTCGTTCCTTCTTCCTGTGGCGGTAGCGTGATGTGGTATCGTGGTGACTGGGCCTCTAGGTTCGATGGTACCTTTCGTCTGTTCACTAGGTATATATATGTTAATTTTTTGAGTTATGTTTGCCTAATTTGGATTTGACTAAATTGACTTAGAACTCTACAAGTACTAGTGTGGTAGCAGGGTCAGATAGCTTTGGGGCGCCGTATCTGTGCCTGTTCTGTACCTTGTTGGTCTCCATTTGTTGCCGCTTGTGGCAGGAGGCCCATTGGTTTTGGTGTTTGTGGTTAGATGGTTGCGCCGGAGGCGGAGGAGGAGAGCTTCGAGGCGAAGGAGGTCGAGCTTGAGGAGAGCAACGATGGGCGGCGGATTTCGTAGGCGGCGAGGATTTTTAGCCCGGTTCGGCGCTCGGTTTGGGTGGGTTGTTTGGTTGTCCACACGGGRAACAACTTGCTGCCGAGTTTTTTGCAGATGTGGCTGTCGTGCTGGTTGCCTGGGGGGAAAGACATTTGCCACTCCAGGACGTCGCCTATGAGGAAGGCCGGATCGAGTGTTGGTTTTGTGGTAATGTTGGGGTTGGCGAGTTGGTTAAGGTGGGTGATCTCGGTCTAGGGGCGGCGGCCGACGTAGAGGAGGTGGGCCGGCTTGAAGATCATGCAGAAGGTCTGGTGGTATTTGATCGTGACGTTGTTTCCATCACTGAGGACACTGAGCTCGAGGACRATGGGGTTTAGGAGKYGGGATGCCATGTCGTCGGTCAAGTGCYTCTTCCAGTGGTAATGGACTGGGTTGAGGTAATTGGCGAGGGTGAGGGTATCTGGGAGGGCGTGGAGGGTGTAACCGTTGTAGGCGGAGCTTAGGGGAGACCCGGCTGTGGGTTCGACGGCGAGGTCGTAGACGAAGTTGTGGTGGGCGCTGTTTTCGTAGATGGTTTCGACGTCCTTTGGCGGGGCTTGAAGGCACCATGCCGCCATGGCGATGCAGCGGAAGGCTGGGTGGGAGTGGTCGGTGAAGTATTTGGGGGTGAAAGTGGTGGCGGAGTTGAAGTAGCGGTCGTAGGCTGTCTTGAAATCCGTGGCTGAGTTGATGGGGTTTGTGTTGCCCCGTGGGGCGGGCTGAAGGCGATCGAGCGCGGTCGGGAGCATGATCGGTTTTTTCTGGGGGGTCAGGGGTGGCAGGGTTTTGTGCTTCTTCGTGGGGTGCGGTCTGGTTTGCTGTTGGTGTGGGGTGGGTTGGGTTGTGGTGCCGGCCTGGGAGTTGGTGTTGTGGGCCGGGGGGCCAGAGGTCTGGGGTGGTAAGATGCCTGAGGCGGTCTGGTTGGGGGTGGTGGCGGGGCCTTCTGAGACGTTGTCGGGGTTTCGGCGGCGAGGTGGTCTGCAAGGTGTGTGCAGAAGAGGTGTTTGAGCCCTGGGGTTGCGGTGCCAGCTGCGATCTGGTCGTCGAGGCGGCTCTCAAGTTCATTGTAGAGGTCCACGGCGGGTTGCGCAAAGTTGAGGGTCTGCGTGATTCGGGCAGCGCTAATGGYGTGAATGGCCAGGTGTGGCGGGGCGTTGCTGAGGAAGCTTTTGCAGGCGGCGAGCCTGTTGGCGGCGGTTTCGGCGGTGGCCATGATGGCGTCAATGAGGGCGGAGTCTTCGAAATCTGTGATGTCGTCCAGGGGGTCGACTGGGGGTTGGGGGTTTATGCGGAGAGTTTGTTGAATGCGGAACGGGTTGGTTTGGTGGTAGCGGTGGCGCTCGGGTGTCACCGCGACCCTTTGTTGTCGGGGGCGGGATGGCGTGGAGGGGTGAGGGCGTAGGGTGGGTCGTGGGTCTTGCCGTTTGTAGGGGTTTCTACGTACGGGCTGGGGCCCTCGGGTGGTCATGGTGTCTTGGTTGGGTGGTGGCGGGTTGGTTGTGTCTTGGTTGACGGGGTAGAGAAGCGGATGTTATGGAAGGGGAAAGGTTTGGCCATCGTGGAGGAGATGCCGTGGGAGAATTGCGCGATTTGTTCGTGGAGGTAGTGGAGGAAGGCGTCGCTTTTCCAACGGCTGAATTTCTGTATCGTGACTGTTGGGACTCCGTTGAGGTACATTGCCATGGCCCCTCTGGCGCGGAAACTGTGGGAGCCAACGAGGTTGGCGGGAATGCCGGCCGTATGTAGGTTTAAGGCGGTGACGGCATGTTTGATCGCGCGATTGAAATCAGCGGCGCGCGGGGTGATGGGCGTGGTGGTATGGGGGAGGATGTATGCACTGATGCACGTGTGTGGTGGCGTGCGAGCTGCGCGGAGGGTGGTAACGCGGTTGAGGAGCGCCCGGACGGGGCACGTCGGGTGGTGTGTGGCCTCGTGGTGTATGCTYTCATTTTGTTTGCCGTTCTTTTGGTTGCGAATGTGGAGGGTGGCCGCGGTGCATCTGGCAAGCAGGGTGGCACGAGGGAGGTCGTGTGGCAACCGTGTAGTGTGATCCCAGAATGTGACGTCGGAGATGGTGAAGTGGGTTGTGAGCGTGGTGTTGCTGGGGGGGCTAT